CACAAGAAGCCAGGTTATATCAAATTGCTTTTGAAAAGTATTTTCTCTTGATTTTACTTTGTTCTTCAATCAGTACGATCATTTTATGTCGGCGCGAACCTCAGTACATGGCTTCATCGGCCTTCGCCGTCATATGTCTGGATCTCGAAAAGCGTGGAATTTACCATCTCGGAAAATTACTCTTCGTCCTATTTCAATGTCGACAGTCTCCTTCGCGTCTACTATAATCGGTAAACAACGTATAATATGCAGAAGAAAAACACAGTTGTTAATACTGTCCAGGATTCAAAATGTGTGGTTATATGATGGTGGGAGCCTAAATAGATGTACTCATCAGAGACCGTCACAGGATGCTTTTTCTCATTCTGCCCGGCCTACCCTGCTCTGTCCTGTCCGGTTGAAGAATTGTTTGACTCTGCCCTGCAGGGCACCGACACCATTTGGCGAAACACGACTATTAATGAGCGTTCAAGTATATAGTGAGAAAGTTAATCGCTCTTCTCTCTTATAGACATCCCACAGACATGACCGAGACTATGAGAGAAATGTCTATCACGTCTGTGACGGGTCCAGTAGAGCATCGCAGATCATCAGTGACACGTCGAAGAAATTTTAGTCAGTTTTGTGGATTTGATTACTTGATTTTTGTTGGGTTTCAAAGGAGCTCTATCGTAATTCACATTTTAATCATATAGGAGTTGCGCCGAAAGCTTCCTTTCATCTGTGACAAATTCAAAGATCGGGAAGTCTCTTATGTTTCCTTTTTTTCCTAGCACAAATCGTTTTGTCATGCATTTTTAGTGAAATTATGATTATTTTTCTTGACCAAAGGATGTTGATACAAAAAATGATACTACTGTAACAGAAGATAGCAAAACAAAAGATTAAGCTGAAATGACAATGTCCTCGAAATATTGGTTCATTTTCTGAGTTTATGTACTGATCGTATCAGCAAAATGTTACCCAGTTGATCAGTAGAATGAGGAAACTACCCAATTGATTCGGCGCTTTTGATTGGCCATAAGTAGATCTCGGTGAGACTAAGAGAACCTCAAACCATTGGTGCTTATGACTCTTCGATCCCAAGATGTGATCAACTGCATATCGAAAAAAGAGATTTTTCACTTTTAGAAAATATCGTTTCTCTATTGTCCTAATTACTCGAGCGGAAATTTTTTTACAAGGTCGTCTCCGTAATGGTCTAATTATTTATTCTAAGATATAGTTTACCGCTGGAGCCATTCGGATGAGAGAAAAATGACATTTTCAAAAAGTAAAAAATTGCGTGAATTTTTGGCATGCAACTGATCATGTCTCAGGACTGAAAAGCTATATATACAAACAGTTTTGGTTTCTATTAGTTCCATTGAGATGTGCGGAATCAGTTGGGGGTAGTTCCTTGTAAGATTTGTTCGTCAGTCATTAATAATAAAACTAGGATCCAAAAATTGACTTTCTGCTCCTGTAGAAGTAGCTAGTATCGAATGAATTTGTTTATCAGACTTCGACAATAATGAAAATCGTTCAGCTAGTTATCAATTTCTACGAAAAATAACTTCGTATACAATGAGATTCTGCAGTAGAATTTCAACACGGCAAAAAAACTTCGCCGTGTCCTACCCCGTACGACGACAGGGCGAGGCGTTGCAAAAAATTTCACTCTGTCCTGCCCGGATGATAGTCTCTGGTACCTATGAACATTTCTATTAAGCTATATATCTGTCTGAATTTTAGTTCAAAAGACACTGCAACACCAGTGGGTGTTTTCGCTTTTGCTTATCTGACAGATCAACGTCGCTGCATTGCCGTTCGAGATATGGACTGTAAGATGAACGCCGGGTTGCAACCAGAGCAGCCGCTAACAACTGTCGAAAAAGATGGCAGCGTCTTCATCACTACTTCATATTTTATGCCACGTGCTATCTCCTTCTGGTATTGCACATTTATCTTTACCACAGGATCGCCACCTATTTGGGCCGATCTACTGCCAGGTCAATACAGCTTGACTTGCCGTATGCGGCTGCGACGTCAGGTAATGAAGAACCTTCATTTCATGTGTCCCATTACCATTTCGGTTCTCAATTCAAATATATTGACATTCTTTGACTTTTTTACGTTTCTTATAAAACTAAGTATATCTAATATAATTGAAAAACATTTTTGTAAAAGCATTTTACATAAAAAGTACTATATTAAGTAAGTTTTTCTAGTATTTTCGTTCTGCCCTGTTTCAACTAGTATATATAATCATCTCTCTTCTAAATTCACAGTTATATTAGCTTGATGATGATACTGTGAAGTATCGAAAGCTCACTTTTTATGTAAAATGATTTTACAAAAATGTTTTTCAATTACATTAAATATACTTAGTTTCTCAATTCAATGTCAGAAGTCTTTCTCCAAACATATACAACTACTCAAAAAAGTATTCGGACAACTATATGTTTTTTCGTATTTTTAGTTTTTCATAGCAGGAACACAAAGTATACGAAAATAGATCGTTTGGAACGACTCTAGTTTCTTATACTTTGTGGTATAATCGTCAAATGAATAAGATAAGAGTTTTTCCCATAACGCTATATGTATGTACACATGAAATGTGTATCATTTGGTACTTTTACCTCCTCTTTTGATCTTTCTACAATATTCTCATAATATTCATTTTCTCAAGATCAAAGATCACTGTTTAAATGAGCAGAACTAATTATAACCATTCTACTGAGTGTAAATGTAAACGAAAGAAATGAAAAAGTGGGAAAAGAAGAAATATATATTAAGACATTGATATTGTATTCTTCATTGATACTTGTATAGTGGGCGAAAAAGATCGGCGGTGACATTTCAATTAATCAATTGATTGCATGAATAAATTGTGTTTCGATTATCAAACACCTACCGGATGTAAATGATGTCATCACATAGTACTGGTGTAAAATGATTGTCGTCCATCACTCAATTAATTGCCAAAATCCAAAATATGAAAAGATAGCTCATAGATCGCCGTATATCTTTTGAATGGATAGCACTAACAAGAAATTTTGTGTATAGAAAACTTTTTCGTCTGGCTGTTTATCGTTCTAATTATGTTAATCAACTGTACAGAAGCTCTTATTTTACCCTTTCTTTATTTTACCGTCTCTTCGTTTAAACAAGAAAAGAAACCCATCTATTTTTCCTCAAATTTCATTCGTTTTACTTACTTTCTCAGCGCGTATAAACTAAATCTATTTATTATTCTCTAAAATTTCTATATTGTTTGTTTAAAAAGGTGACAATCTTAATCGAGTTAGAAAACTATCCATGATTTTATCCCTATATGACAATTACAAGGTCGTTTTAAAAGCGTGAGAAAAAGAAAACAAGTGTGAATGGTGCATTCAACGTTGTTTTCCGTGATTTTATATTTATGGACAATTTTTAATTATAACAATTAAAAATATACATGCCAATTTTGTTGATGAATGCGAACAATCAATTGTTTTGCAATCAAGATAGAAATAGAGATAGATCAAATTGTTTCTCGAATGAACAAACATGCTGAGATAAAGCATATATTCATAGAACAATTAAAAATAAACCACTACTACCTAGTAATTAAAGTTAATTTTCTCAATATTAATAATTAGTTCATTTTATATCATATTTTCTCATGATTAAAAGGTTGACTATACTTCTTGAATGCAAGTACCAGAATAAATTCATAGTAGACAAAATAATAGCTAGGAAAACACAATTGGATCTAATCTAATGTGTACACAAACTTTAAAAAGTGAACATTTCTTTGATAACGAGCATAATCTAGACTGTTTCAAGTCGCGCGATGAACAGTAAGATGAAAATTAAAAAAAGAGAAAGACATTTTAACTAAGAAAAGTGGGAGGCATCTTATAGTTTGATCTTGAAAAAATTTCAATGTATATCGAACAAAAAGATTTTTATTTTTATGAGCTTAGTTTTTAATTGAACGGTCCCCTTTGAAGGTAACAATAAGAATAACTTGAAGTTAAGTGGATAGAGATTTATTTTAATTTTTTTCGCAAGTTTAGTTATTGGTCTTTTTCTTTTTCCGTCTTGCAAATATTTCCAAACTATATATGTATATATATAGTTGAACCTTTTCTCCATTTCATATTGTAAGTGACAGAAAGGAAAAGGAAAAGGAAAACGTGATCTGTTCAATATCACATATCTTCACTTACTGCTTTTTTTTTGTTTTTATGTCTGTTTTGTGCACGCATACATAACCTCTTACCTTGTATATTTGTTTTAGTTGTTTCTTAGATAGCATACAACTTCTTATCTTTACTTCATAATCAACATGTTTTATCTTCATGTCAAAATGTGAACTTTTTATTAAATTATTAAAAATGTTAGATAGCGAACAAATCGATTTTGCAAGAGAATTATTATCAAACAACAACAAGGAATTATTATTCGAATATTTGGATCAAGATGGAAATACATTGTTACATCGATATCTAATAAAAAATAAACCAGAAATTGTACGTTTTTTAATTAAAAATGGAGCAAGTGTTAATGTATTGAATAGAGATGGTTGGTTACCATTACATTTGGCTGCCTTTTGTTGTTCAGATTTAGACATACTCCAATGTATTATCGATTCATCTCACGGAAAATATACAAGATGATAGGTGCGTAAAAAATTTGTTTTGTAAACATTAACTTTGAGAGAAAATATAAAAGCTTTGTCCATATTTTGGAACTAGAAAGGTAGAAAAATTAATAATTTAACTCATTTAAATATTTTCGCATGATATCATTTGATTTATCAGCCCCTTTACCAGATAGAAAACACTTTCACTGTTTACTTGATTCCATGATTTCTCCTTAACAAACTACATGGCCATGAAACTTAACTTGTTTCATTTTTGATCTTTATTGATCTGATTAAAGTTGTTGTAATATGTTTCAGTAATTTGTAATTTATTTTTGCTACGTTGATGCCATGATTCAGATGGAGTGCTATTTTAGTTACTTATAAGTAAGAGTAATTTTCGTTTTAGGGATTGTTAAACGTCTCATTAGATTATTATATGGGGTTTAATAGTTAACATTCTGAATAGACAATTGGCATAGACGATTGAGATTTGTTAGAAAATAAAATTATATTAAAGGACGTTCGACAAATACGATCATGTCGTCAGCAGTGATTATTTGATTCTAACTTTGATCTTGTTATTTTATTAATAAATAATTTTTGTTTTTTGATTGCTAACGATTAAGAATGAATAAACAAAATAAATTATGAAAGAATTAATCCGCAAATGAATAGTGATTTAGAAATCTTTTTTGTACAGCACAACGTTACAGACAGACTGCTGATACATTGAAGAAGTTGTTGACTTAATCATTTGTGATTATGAACTATGACATGATTAAAACTGCTTTTTGAGAAAAAGAACGATATAGACTTTTTTTGTATGACAAAATTTTATATTCTTGTTACTATTCATCCTATATATTTCCATGTTTTCAATATAAAATTAATGATAAATAAATAAATATCTTGTGAAAATCAGAACCGACTAGAGAGTCATTGTCTACTATTTATTAGTGAATGATTAATTAAAAAAAAATTTCATATCGTATATTAAATTATTTTTCTTTCAGTTTGAAAAACTTATTGCTGAATAATGTTGTGATATATGACTATGTAAACGAACAAGTAGGGAAAATTTGTCATTCACTTTAAAACTACAGTTGAATCATGTCACAACAAATATTTAACATTTTGATTATTTTTACCTTTCAACTTACTGATATCAACTGTATCAGCATCAACATTTTTAGAAACAAAATTTTTTACGACAATATGACTTCCAATAAAAATTAAAAACTTATTGATTATTGTTAAATTATTTGTTATGATCTGTTGATAATAATGGAAACTAAACAAGTTGAAATGTATATTTAAAATATATTGTTCCTATAAGAGAAGTGTTTTTCAATTACATGTTAAAATAAAATTCAAATGAAAACATACAATACATACTCTCTAAAACGAAATGATAAAAACTATGATTTTTGCTTTTTTGTTTAAGTTGTACCATATCCAAGAATTCATATCGATGATTAACCGACGTTTGAGCGACCGACATTTCCGCGAACGACATGAAACCTGAGAGAAGTTATCTGATGAATAACCAATAGACGGTCCAGTTATAAATGTACAGTTTCGCGTGATGAAAATGCGTTTTTTGTGAAACTACTTTTCGAACTCACTCTCACATTGCTCACATCCCTACCTCCTACGACACACTGCCAAAAATATCCAAATGTGTACTACGAAAAATTCGTGGAACAGTCGAGTCCTGTTCGTGGTCGGTCGCTCAAACGTTGATTGACGCATATCGATGTATTGATCTGTCAGTTTTTCAATTATTCATTTTGTCCGCCGCTGCAAATCCATCAGCATGTTATATACAGTAAAAGTCTCATTTATCTTTTATCCATTTCGAATGATGATTTACAGAAATGCTGCAGAGTTTTTAGAGATTTAGTAAAAACTTATGTGGGTACTCTGTGGTGTGACAAAGCAATTTTAATTAAATTTCAAAATATTCATATCCTGGTGCTTTTTATAATTTCAAACCACCTGTACAATCCTCGAATCGACTCTTATGAGAGATGCAATGATAGACTACATATCCTGTAGACCATTGAACCATAGATAAGAAAATATGGTTAGTTGGAAAAATTTATGTTGAAGGTTTCTGGTTTAGATCCGCATATCTATTCATGATAGTCGATATGAGTGATGTAATTTTTTCTTTTTTTCTGTCAAACTGTTTGACTATGAACGAACTACAGTGTGGATCCCAATTGCATTCATAGCCTTTTTGCTTTTTTCACTACATATTATGTTCTATTATTCACATTATACAGGAACGTATTATAATAATTACAATCATACTCTATTTTACTATAAGAAAATTTCGAAACTGAAAAAGTGAAAAGTATTACTGTTACTGGTAATAGGAATATATACAATATTTGGATTAGTCGTAAAAGTAACAGTAATGTGCCACCCCCAATTTGCAACTATACGAAACGCATTTTTTCGGTTTGGTAGTATACGCTTTTTTTAGAGTATAGTATAAAACATTTCAAATAATAACAACAAATATAGGTTAACTACGAGTGAGAACAGTAATTAAGAAGGTAAATGAAATTTTAAAAAAAATAACAAACAACTTTTAATTTTTCCATCTACATATGTCGTTTAAATGACTACTGCTGCTGCCGTGTGTACGAGTGAAAAATGAAAGATTTCTAGTCAAGTTGTTTCTCTTAAAACGTCTAACGGGTGGGCCAGATAAAACGGATCGATTTTGTTTTCTGCTTTTGAGGCACTTAAAAATTGTTTTGGTTTTGAGCTTATTCATAGAGAATTTATTGCTCTATAGAACTGTCGACTTTGTTTTGCAAGTAAATTTTTCTTGTCGGTGCAGAACCAAAAAGATTAACACCTACTCAATCGTCCAACTGCGATCTCCGGTTTTTTCCAGGTATCTATCGATTTGTGTAATCCAATGCTCATCAAGTCCGATGCTAGAAGTACAGTATTTAATACCAATAGATAGAGAATTTTGTGCTCTATGCTTGCACGACTTTTTCAAGATTCTTGATGCTATTGTTCAGGGGGAAAAGGCTTCGAGCTAACACATAGGGATATTTTTGGATGCATTTTAGAAAAGCGTTTTTTGACCGTTGCAGTTGGAAAAATATTCTGATGTAAAACCAACAGATTTTATTGAAATTTTGCTAAGTTTTCAAAGAAAGGAAATTATAGAAAAGATCAAACTGATTATACCGAGAATTTTCAAGCTGTTTAGGTCTATTTTGAGAAAGTTATAAATTTTTTATGGTTATTTAGAAATGGTTTTGCAGTATATTTTGATAAAACTTAATTTCCATTAGATTTCTTGATTTTTTTATGACAATGTTTAGATGTTTAGAAAAACATTGCCATGAGGAACACGCAGTCAATTAAATATGTAAGATGCATCTTTGCTTCGGTCAGGATTGAGAGATCAGGACTCTCAGGAAATCCGTCATCTAGCCTAAGAGCTACGGAAAACAAAGATCTCACTTAAATTCTATTTGAAGTGAACACTTGTGAATATCTCCTTATGGAAAAACAAAAATATTGTCGTTTCATTTTTTTAAAGAGCCGACTGATTTTTCAAAGATCTTCTACAAACATACTTATAAATGAGTTTCGAAATGTGTTTTTGTTTATGAGAAGGTATCCTTGAATCTTCTCTTTCAAATGACAAAAACCAACGGTTTCTACCACTTCTCTGTTAAAATTCAAAGTATTCAAAAGGCATCCAATACATATACTACATCATTTCAAATATCCATTCAACCGCCGTTCTTGTTCAGGGCAGGTATTTTGGAGTGCAATATTTAAAATGCAGTATTTTGTCTAAATCAGAAATTGAATGTTTTTAATCAACACTATTTACAGAATTTAGGCACATAATCAGTTTTGTTTAGTAATCAAAAACTTTAACTAAAGATAGAAACAGAAAACAGACCGTAAAAGAAGTACAATATAGTAAAAAAACAAGAGAAACTAGCGTTAACCATATCTGGTATAGTTTACTTTTTGAAATTGATTGAAACTCCACGTAGTTTACGACCAAAAAACAAATAACACATTTATTACCAGAAAAATTGATAAAATTTTATATGACATTGATTCTAGAAAAATCATCAAATAAAGCATAGATTGTAATTATTCATGCCTACAATAAGATATTCTACTTACGTGAAGATGCATGTCCGGGAAGATAGTTGCCACATGGAGATGGTACATTTTGAGGCTGATCACATTTATTTGTATATATATTAAATTTTTGGTTATTATGGCATGATGCTTCTCGTGTTTTTACTTGTCCAACACATTGAAAAAATACTCGACATTCTCGCTCCGTATCGGGAAATATACCATCTCGTCGACCACTACATTGATTTTTATCGGCTAAATTCATCGATCTAGTACCACAAAGTACTTTAGAAAATAGATCACATTCTTGTTTTTCAGTATCAAATAATTGTTTTTCAGGACATGATAATTTTGTACGATGACCATTTTCACATTGATAATAAGCATTGCATTCATTTTGATCGGGAACATTATACGAGCCAACTGGTTGACATTCGATTACTTGATTTTCACCTTTTTCAATTCCTGATGATGTAACAGAATTGATAGTCGATTCAGAAACTGATTTCTTTCTTAACGTGGTTGACCCTAAACATTAATGGTTAATAATAGCATACTATGTTTAGTAATCAGAACGCTGTCAATGATAAAAGAATTGTATCGTGCATTTAAGTATAGAGTGTAGAGAAAATGAATATATATATGCAAGATTTCGTCATATATCGATACATACCAATAAATAATGCCATTTTGCTGATTTAAGCTGATAATCAGTCAAAAAATTAATTGGTGTTTAAAATCTTTTATGTATCCTATAACTTGCTTACTGCTAATACCAATCGAAACTTACGTTCTGACGTTGTTGAATAATCCAATTTTTTCGCCTCACAATTGACATCATCAATCCATTTGCACGACGATGTTTTTTCATCCCATCCCGTACCCTCAGGACATTCAAACAATTCTTCTATGCCGTGTGAGCAACGGTAATATCTCGTACAATATTCGGGATCGCTAAAAGGTTCATGAGTTAATTTTATGAAAAAATTTAAAAATATTGTATTCTTCTCAATATTTTATCATTTTTATAATCGTACCCAAAAAAACCATCTCGTCCACCACATAACATATCATTTATAGGAATTAATTGATATAATGAAATCATATTTAGAAATAAAACTACAACGAAGACGATTGGGATGCATCGACAACATTCAAAACGATTGGAATAGCAATGAACAATTTCAAATGATACGATCCGCTCAACAAATGTTTCTAAGTGAATCCCAGTGCGTAAAGAATACATGCAAAAAGAGATCTTTCATGCTTTTGTTGTATCATGCACCATGGTTGATACTATTAGAAGTAGAAAGATGCTCTTACGTTCTTCTGGTTCGTCATCTGGTGGAGGTTCTGATTTGTTTTTTTTACGTAATATACGACTGGCTTTTTTTGTCACTTTTTTCTTTGATACTAGTTTGTCGGATCCTTCATCCTGTGATGGATTATCACCATCGTCATTATCACCTTCACTTCCTTCATTTGATAGTGAACTTTCAGTAGTTTCTTGTCGTAAACAATCAACGTTATCTAACCAATCACAACGGTTTTCATGGTGATTCCAAGCTGTACCCGAAGGACACTCATACTAGAAATCAGCGAATATCTATTAGTTATTCGAATTAAATATGCTCTATTAACATCATAGATAAGAGAAAGCGAATTTTTGCAACTGTTCATGTCTACTAATCGTATCAATTGTTTTTCACTGACCTCTTCTGATGTTCCATAATTGCATCTCCAATAAATGTGACAAAATTCGGGATCAAGATAGAAGCCATCGTCTTTCGATGAACAATCTATTTCAGCTGAGACAATAAGTAGCCAATACTGTATGTAGAAATAAAAATACCATATTTGACCTAATGCTAAAAATGCAAAGTAGTAAGAAGAAGCAAATTTCAAATTTAAGTAAGCTCTACAAAAAACTTATTTACAAAAAGAAAAGCTCACGTCAAAGTAGAAGCATGAGATCAGCAAGATAAGTTTTAGCTTTTAAAAGAAACGGTAAAGAAAGTATAGTCAATAACATATCTAGTAAATGCTAGAGTAAAGCAAGACTCTTGGGTTCATTCACTTAGAAAGTGTCTATGTAACTGCACTAAATTTCTCTTGAAATGAACATAGACAAGGAATTGTACAATGTTATTCCTATTCTTAACATATATATATTCTTACCAACTATAATAGCTGATGTTGCCGACCACATGATTAGAATTTAACGCTTTGACTCTTAGATTTCTTTTACAAATTATAAAAATCAAAAATGATCAGTTTATTAACTTTGACAAAAAGAACTTTTAGAGAAAAATAAGATACATTAACTGAACGTGTTATTATGATGTAATATTTTTATTATGAACTTACATATATGCATAGTTTACTTCACACCATTAATAAAACAAATGTGAAAATTTTTTTTTGATATTTTCATTGTAGGTGTGAGAGAGAAACAAGATTGGATATTAATGTTATAGTTTCATTATAATCTAAATGAAGAGAAGGAATGTTTGTTGTACAAGATCTATCTATTGAATATCCGGATAAAAACGCCCGTACGCCGTTAATTCTTTAGATATCTTCATCAATCGTCCTTTCACTTTTTAACAATCTTATTTAACTAGAATAGAGAACGAAAAGAGAAGAAGACAATAAAGATTAGTCAAATACATACATATATCGTTCTTATTTTATTGATGACAGACGATCTCGGAAACTATTTCTTTTTCTTTTGTTATTTGAACGAATAAGAAAAAAAAATGGTATGTTTACACTTACAATACAAACAAACAAATGTTACGTGTTCAATTGTGACGATAAACAAAATAGATAACTTATTTTTTACGAGTAGCTATTGAAGTACTCAACCCTTTCTGATTGTATGTGTTTTATTTTAACGAAAACTATTTAACTTTGATTGTAATTATGCACGTTTCGCACGTCTTATTACATTCCATACAAGAAAAAGACACATTCACTGACTTGTACATTTGAACTAACAACAAAACATATTTAACAGATTTGTTTGGTAAAATGGTAGACAAGAACGTTTTTTCTTTACATTATCAAAATTAAACGTTGATGCCAAGTAGGAAAAGATCAACGTTCAAAATTTGACAATCAGGTTGTACAACATCACTTGTTTGCATTCTTATATATTTTCTCTTTTTCAGACGGATTTGACTCTGTCATTAAATCCAATATGTGATGTATTCTTATTTCATGTGTAACACTTTTAAAATTTATCCAACTCTATCTTTTTAATTCATTATTTGTTTCGTAGGAGAGATTAGAGTATCCTATGATATATATATGTCTTTTGACTTTCACATTAAGTCTGTATTTTTAATCAAAAAATTATCGCTACAAAAATATATGCACACATTTCAAAAAAAACAACTTTTATTCTCTATCTGGATCTTCTGTCCACGGTCGCGGCACTCGTGGTTGATTCCAGTCACCTAAATCAATGTTTTCCATTATTTTTTCATATTCTTCTTCTAATGTCGTACTACTTTTTCCACTACCAAATCCTAAAGCTTTTATTTCGTCTCGAGAATATGTTTTTACTTTTCGTCGATAATCGTCATAACGTATCCATGTAAAGCCGCGTAATGTGACAACAACAACACCTACTAAAGCAGCAAACGGTAAAAATTGTTTGACCCACGGATTCATTATAAGTATAACTGATTATCACAGATATCTTTCACATATATTTGAATAAATTTTTTATTAATTTTCAAATCCGATTTTGTAAGCGATTGTAATGCAAAATCAAATAATAATTGTTTTATCAAATGAATATTCTCGTAGAAATTTCTTGCAAAAAATAAATCAGTTTAATACCATTCAACTTTAATTGAACCTGAACAAAAACTGATATTTTGTGACTCATCGTCACATAACAACAAAAAGAATTACTTATTATTCATCTACCATAAACGTACATGGTAAATTTGCATTCATAACATATTCATTAATAGAGAACCATATCTGAAAATACAATGACAACGCGTAAATGCAATAGTTATGATTTTTTTCCAACTATGTCGACTTTCCAGATGTATCTTAGTAATTAGAAATATACCTTGCATCATATTACAGTCGTATGAAGCAGTATTTTTGTCTAACTTTCTCTTTCTTAAATATAAAATGATTTTTGATAACATACTGGTGTGAATGGTTTTTAGTATATTATATACGAACGCTCAAACCAAGGCATCTATAAATTTCTATCCAGAAACGCCACAATTGCTACAAAATTTCAAAATTTCACGTTGATAATAGAGATTTATAGGTAAAATTTATGAATGCTGTGATCTATAGGAACATATGGATGAATCTGGCAAAACTTCATTATTTGTTTATCCGAAGAAAAATGAAATAACAGTACATAACCAGAGAAATTTTGCAAACATGAATAAGACAAATATAATAAGACATTTTTACTGTTTCTATAAGATGGTATAAATATTTATTTGTTACTACAAAACGAAATTGAAACGATATCTGTTGAGATTTATTGTTGATGTTTCTTCTTCATATATATACAATTAAAATATCCTACATTATATAAAAACGTTGTCTGCTTTTAGCCACAAATAAGGACTCCACATATCTAAGAGAAAAAAATATGGACTGCTATTTTCTGGTTCGTTGATACAGAATAGAGAAAAGAAGAAATCAACAAAGGTCGCTAGTTTATAGCATTCGTTTTCCGCATTTGAGTGACATAGCGTTTCTCTTGTTTTAGAACTTAGCTATTTGTCATATATACTCAACATATCTTGCTTTTACAATTATTTCAGGGTTACTGATTTATGAAAAACTAAAGTCTGTCTACAAACGTGAGTCTTTTGCAAAAGACTCAGTTTGTAGAGCAAAAAGAACTCAGAGTTCTTTGCTCATATGCATATAAAATTACCTGAAACAGCTGAATTTTTATATAAATTACAATTATAAGTTGACCCGATATAATTCCTGTTGAGTCCAGCCTTGACAGAGGAATCTCAAAAATAATTGAGAAAAAGGAATTACGTAGACAGGAATTAAACCTGAAATCGAGTAACCTCAGGTTCAATCCCTGTCTACGTAGTACCTTTTTTTCGCTTTGTCTTTATAACCACTAGGCCATACGTCATTATGAAAAGTGTTCTCTTCTCATTTATAATCGTTAAAATATCTTTTACAGAAAATATTCGAATTTGGAAAAAACTAAAATGTAATTTTTCGATGAATCAAAAATTTTGAAATTTAAACTTCAATATTAATCAACAGCTTGCATTACAAAGTTATATAAGAAAAGCCTTTTTTCAGTTTAAAAATAATTCAAACTTATAAATCAAGATTTAAGAGAACTGAACAGGGTGCCCAAATCCAATTTTTCGAAATCAGGAGTTAATTAATCAGTAGACTTTTTCTAAAAAATCAGGAGGAAAATTAGGAGATTTTTTTCGAAATCAGAAGAACAACAGAAGAACATCAGACAGTTTTTTTCTTGGACTAGTAAAACCTTCACTTCCACAAATGCTTGAGACTTTTTTCTACCAAGCAAATAAACCAAGATTTAAGACAATAGAAACTATTTTACTAAACTATTTAGTCCAACATCACCAAAACGAACAAGTGTTGGAGAGGAAAGAAAATTCGCCCTCTTAGTAGCGTTTCTTGGGCTAGGCAGAATTTCAGCGTGTTTTACCCGATTTTCTCCGCGGGAACACGAAGCAATTCATCTCAAGCTCAGTGTAAGGTTAAATTTAAAATAAGTACATATGGCAATCTTATTTACGCTTCTCAATTCTCTCTTTCAATTACTGTGTACTTATTCTGAAGTTATCATTTAATTCAACTTAATCAAGTTTTTGTAACTGATCACTTTTATACAGTTACTGAAAAAGAAAAAAATAGTTTTTCTTTCTCCTTCTGATGTGAACATGTCTTTTGACTTATATATTTCGTGTACATGTATATATACAACAGTTATCCTTACGTACGAACAGAAACAGTTTCGTTCTTTGATACATTTCTTTCCTATAGAAGTCATTTTTTTTAACATTTCCCATTAGAAAAATCTTGCGAATCTTACAATAAAAGAATTTTTCGTTGTAATGAAGATAAAGATTATACTCAATCTACTGTTCATACGTCATTTTTTCCACGAAATCAAATAATTCTATTGAAATTGTAAGATTTGCAAGACTTTTTTCTAATAAGAAACGTTAAAAAATGACTTCTACAATTAAATCTGACAAACTACTCTTATCAAAGATTGTAGAGTGAATGTTCTTAATTCATGAAAATTTAACGTCGGCATTTCACCTTTATTCTTGATAAATTTCTTCATAAACTATCAGATGTTTTTATACTTCCCAGTAGAAGAAAGCACGATGAACTTAATGGCAAAAAAACATAATTAACTATCTCTAATGAACAAGTCATCCCGGTATATTGAATGGATATGCCCGTTGGAATTAGCGGTGTTCACTAATAGAGGCTTTACAGTAGTCAGAAGTTAGTTAACTATAAAGCGTATAATAGCAGTTCTTGGATACAACCCTAAGCTATCACAGTTCATTAATGATCGATTTCATCGTCTTTTTTCTAGAAAGTAATTTCTTTAGAAAGACAAAACATTCTAAAGTTATAAATTGTATTCCACTACAATTTTCAGATCGAAGAAAATGGTCCGAGATCTTTTTTTACTTGAAAATAACCGAAAAAAATTCGTTAAAGCAACAAAAATATCATGAAGGAAATTACTCGAAAGCTCGGAATTTTGTGAGCGCAGAGAGTTTCATGTATTCTATCGAATGAACTTTGAACGAAACTCTAATATTTTATCGTTAAGTTAAAAAATAGATTTTAATTTTTGTCAACATTTCCTTAAAACATGTATATCTTCCCGAGCATACGTTTCCGCCTCCTGAAGGATTGAGATTCGGATAGAGCTCAAAATTCTGAGTATATACAAACATTTTGAGCATATGTTTTGGCGGCTGTGTTGTGCCGATCTGTGGATATTTGAAAGATTGAATAAATCTTGCATAAAACTAAAAACAGCAGGCTAAAAGCAGACAACGGGTTGTTTCCCGCTAGCCGTCAAAGATAGCCGTCAGGAGCCACTTTCTACATGAAACGACGTAGAAGGTGACTCCTGACGGCTATCTTTGACGGCTACCGGGAAACAACCCAGACAACGATATAAAAAGCCAAGTTGGATAACTCAAAATATGATTAGACTTAAAAACCGCGAATGACAATCATTCCTCTTATTAATGTTCTTTTGCGACATCTGAGGCAAACAGTCACAGAACGGGTCAGGATAAGCTTTCATTCAAATTTCTTTCATTAAGCGCCAGTATCAATGTGATTTACATTGATACTGGCGCTTAATGAAAGAAATTTGAATGAAAACTTATCTTGACCCACAGAACGCTCAATATAACACTTGAACATGTATTCGCCTGGAAAACAAAACCTGCAGTCGATTTTTCAGCTCTTTCGACATTATAAAACCACATTTTGGAAAAAATAATTATACCATCTGATAGCGCTTGGACTTTTCTTCAACCTTTATATTCAGATTTTCCCCTGCTCTTGTTTATTGGAAGAAAAATCGAGTGAAATGAAGGCACTCTCATTGTCAGATTCCCAACGATTGAATTTTACCGCTGTCTTCTCAATTAGTATTTTAAATTTATCTTTGCTTTAGAAATAGCTTTTTAAGAAAATAATTATATATTCTGATAGTGCTTGGGTCCTTTCGCGCAGGTTCGCCCACTTTATACAGAGCATCTTGCCGCGAAAATTCCACTTTGCCTATGGTGTAGAGTATCAAAAATAACCTAAAGGTCTCGCTTACGCTTTTTTGAAAATACGTGTGGGAAGTGGTTTTCTAGACACCTCAAGTTTTTGGTGAGGGTGAAACCGAAGTCATTGAAAATGAACGAAACTTTGGATAATTATACATCAAACTGTAGTTCTTGGCGAGTTGATTTTAGTAGTGAAGGAATTCGGTCTCGATCTAACTTTACATATGAGTGGTACTCAATTTACTTGAAAAATTCTTGAAGTTTATCCTCGATTTTCTCCTAAACGCTCCAAAAATGTTTCGAGATTTTTTCAGGATAGAAACTACCTAGTAGTATCTATAACTTTGCCCATACAACTATCCTCGACACTTTCCATCTTTTACCCTCAGTTTTTCATAAAACCCGTTAAAACCTTACTTCATGAAAAGAAAATTGAGCTATTATCACTCTATATTCCTGTTCAGCATGAAGACCTCAATGTATTTCAACGTTTTCTGAAGCTTCTTTGTGTTTCCGCACCACAGTTTTTCTAAGAGGATTTCAGGAAAACTGAGGGTAAAAGATGGAAAGTGTCGAGGATAGTTGTATGGGCAAAGTTATAGATACTACTAGGTAGTTTCTATCCTGAAAAAATCTCGAAACATTTTTGGAGCGTTTAGGAGAAAATCGAGGATAAACTTCAAGAATTTTTCAAGTAAATTGAGTACCACTCATATGTAAAGTTAGATCGAGACCGAATTCCTTCACTACTAAAATCAACTCGCCAAGAACTACAGTTTGATGTATAATTATCCAAAGTTTCGTTCATTTTCAATGACTTCGGTTTCACCCTCACCAAAAACTTGAGGTGTCTAGAAAACCACT